GTGGCCAGGAAGACGATTCAGAGAGTGGCCAGGAAGACGATTCAGAGAGTAGCCAAGCAGATGAAACCGAGAGTGGTCAGGAAGAGAATCCAGGTAATGCCCAGGAAATGGCCCCCCTTGAGCTTAACAGGAGCCACAACCTAGAAGAAAGATCAAAGAGACCCCAGGAGTCTCCCCTTGAGGATAGCTGGCGCCATGGTGTAGGAGCAAGTCCAAAGAAGCAGATGCCTCAAGGGCAGAAGGCCGAACAAGCAAAAGGAACAAGAGGCTCAGAATCCCAGCAACAGGAGGAGCCTGTCCCAGCCTACAGTCCAATGAATTGGGGCTGTCCCCGGTGTAAAGCTGTGAATTTTTCATGGCGCAAAATCTGCTATAAATGCAAGAAAGTCTGTGCGCCGTTTGAGAGTGGAGGCAGTGACCCAGGACACACTCACTCATTTTAGGAAGGTAAGTAAGACTGGAAACACCCCAAAGAGAAACCAATTTCCTAAGACTCCCTTTTGATCAAAAAGTAACTTAGTTATTTCACAGAAAATTTGGACCAAAATTATCATAGAGAAAATTAAGCAATCCATTATCCTATTTCTCAAATTAACAACTTTTTATGATTGTATGTATTTACTTTTTTATTCATTTACTTGAACAAAGAGGGACTACTTTTAAGTATCACAATCACTCTTTAGGGGATTTCTAATTGCTTTTCAGTTTTGCAGGTGGTGGATTCCGGATGGCTGATGCTGATCGATCGACACCCTGGAGAAGCTGAAGTCATGAAGCCTCTTCTTGAGTCTCTTTTGTTTTCTTTTTCTTTTTTTATTTTAATTTTTTATTTTTTTCCATAGAAATTAAAAAAATTATTTTTTAAATTCAATCCTATACATTAATGCATTTATGGCGTATAATGTGCTGGTTTTATACACAATTTGGAATGCTTACATCAAACTTGTTAACATAACTTTTACCTCCCTTAATTATTGTGTTAAGACATTTATTAACCTCATTTTCCTAAAAATGCCATGTATTTGGCTGGGAGCAGTCATATTATTTTAGAGTTGTAAGCTGTGTTAAATTTTAGGAATACATTTTTCATTGACAATGCTGCTCTTCTTTGGAAACTACTGCAGTATTCATGTTTGCTTTCTGTAAGTTTTCTAGGTCAGGTTTTGTTTTTGTGTCTTGGCCCCACCAAAACTTGCTGGTTGCTGAAGAAGTTGAACTTGTCCCACTAGAAGATCTCCCAGAGGACCTGCACTCAGCAAGACCCCTACCAGCTGAAGCCAAGAATTGGAAGAGGAAGTCAGGGAAGAAAAGATGCTTTGGGACTCCTTAGGGCAGTGGTTCTCAACCTGTGGGTTGTGACCCCTTTAAGGGTCCAACGACCCTTTCACAGGGGTTGCCTAAGACCATGGGAAAACACATCATGATTCATAACAGTAGCAAACTACAGTTATGAAGTAGCAACGAAAATAATTTTATGGTTGGGGGTCACCACAACATGAAGAACAGTATTAAAGGATCTCGACATTAGGAAGGTTGAGAACCACTGCCTTAGGAGAAAAGGGGAGAGTAAAATAGTTTTGTTAAGATTGAATTTTTCATTAAGACAAAGAATTAACTTGGAAGAGTTTGGGGGATTGTAATGTTTAATGTTATAGGTGATAGCAACTTTGATAATTTCATATAATTCATTAGATAAGTATTGTAATTAGATAAATATTCATGTAATTCATTAGGTAAATATTATATGTGTTAGGAGATAGACTTATATGTTATCTGGTGCACACACAATTCTTTTTGGTGAGGTTTTTTCCTTCTTTTTTTCTCTTCATTGAATTTGAAATCTCAAAGGGAGTTACTAGAAAATATGCTTCCCAAACTTGTATTTTTAAAACAGACATAGTTGTAAGAATTGCACTTTTAGTATTAGACACAATTGCATTTAATTGTGAATACCCCTAGTATACGGAATTTTATTTAATTTTTTGTTTTTTATTTTATTTTTTTAAACATAGTCATTCATATTTATTTATTAATAATGTGCATGTATATGTGCATTATTATGTATTAGCTTCAAACATATACATGTTCGTTTAGCTTAAAACATGTACGTATGTATACTTTTATTTACTAACCTTTTATTTTATTTTTGTTAAATAATAGCTATACACATTAATGCATTTATGGGATACAATGTGCTGATTTTATATACAATTTAGAATGCTTATATCAAACTGGTTAATGTAACCTTCACCTCACTTAATTGTTATACTCTATACTTAATAGATTTGACATGTACCCTTGCAAAATGCCCCATAGATGTGGTCTCCCTGATTACCTTCCCTCCAGCCAACCTCCCCTATTTTTTTCTTTTTTCTTTCTAGTGAGTTTGGTTAGAAAACAGGAGAGAACATAATTTGGGATACAGATTAGATCAGAGGTATCCTCTTTGCCTTGCGTGTGTTGTGGCCTTGGGTAATTCAGTTAAGTAACATCCAGATCCATTTTTACATTTGTGGGGAGGCAACAGGAGAGAGATTTTTTTGAAAGGTATTAGGTAACCAAACTGCTCATCTCATTCATCCTAGGTGAGATAATGAGCGGTAGCAAAGTTCAGGAAAGCACCCTCATATAGTACAGGCAAGGTTGTTCCGATGTTCTGCTGATTTCCTCCCTTGAAAGGGATAGCTATTTTCTGGGTTCCCACCAGCCTGCCTGGAAGACCTCTGGGGTGCCTTGAGAAGAGACAACACTTGAAGGAGTGTTAGAAACATGCTCCAGGCCTCAGCCTTGGGTTTCCCCTATCCCACATCCCTTTCTAGTCAACAGTTGAGGGAACAAAATGGATTCCAAGGATAGATATCTGGCCCACTGAGGTATGAATAGTGTTTCTCTTGGGAGGGTTAAATGGGTTAAAAATAGAATTGGATGGAGTTAGAACTCTGGAGGATGCCTCAGATCCCTTCTTTTTCTCATGGTATGTTCTCTGCAGGCTCCACTTCCCCAAAGCAGCTGGTGCAAGGCAAAGAGGGAGCCAGAGTGGAGCCCAGGGGTGGGAAGTTAGATCCACCACCAGTCTGAGTTAAACTTGTCCTTGAGTTCTCCCAGGAAATCCCACCCAGTTCACCAAGCTCAATCTTTGTCAGGGGCTTTCTGTTCCAAACTTAAAATAAACAGTGTGCACTTTACTGCTGTGTCTTCTGTGTATTGTGTAACTTGGGGCAGGTTTGCTTAGGACAGCAACCTAAATCTGTATCTCCCTCCATCCCACTAAGATGAAGGAATAGTCCATCTCTTTCACTGTTGGTAGGTCACTCCTTGTCTGATGAATTACCCAAGAATTAAGGGCACCTTTGTGGGGGCCTTCAATCCATGGCGACTGTTGCTTCTACCCTCACTAAGTCTGTGTGGTGGTCCCTTGAGAGTGGGTACATCTTCTGCTCCAGGGCCGGTGGGACATGAGGGGTGAGGAAAGGCGGGATGTTTCTCCCTAGGCTAGGAGCCCTAATGCCTGGGGTCCAGCTTCCCTCTGTGTATAAAGAAGCCATTTCCCTGAGACCCTCTCTCCTTGAGGTCCCCTGATGTCCCATGAGCAGAAATTTCCCTCCTGCGTTTCTGCCTTCCAAGGCACTGTACCCTCCCACATTGTATATAATACTATCAAGGTCCTTAGGGATTCTGGAAAGCAGCCAGGCTCTGGACTGTCTTCTCAGAAGACAAATGTTCCATGAGGTGGAGGGGAATGGAGGCCAGCCACTTGCTTGGTGTAGGGTCAGAAATAAAAGTGGCCCTGCCCGCTAGCATTTTCACTTCCCTCAGAGTCATGATTTCTGGCAGAGCCTTGATTACTTAGGAAGGGAGCCCTGGAGAGGAAGGGCTCCATCAAGGGTATCAAACCCAAAGCTAGTTTTCTGGATTAGGGGCTGGGTTTGTGATCTATGTGCTGATAGCCCCTTGGAACTTTGGGAAGATGGGGCATAGATGATACTTGGGAATTTTCCAGCCTAATCCCTTTTCATATACTGGCAGGTAATTCTAGATTTTACTATCGTTGCTGCTTTTATGGCTGCAAAATGAACTCTGCTGTTTATTGCATGCTTTTTATCTTTTTGAGAAAGTCTCACTTTGTCACCCTTGGTAGAGGGCCATGGCATCATAGCTCACAGCAACCTCAAATTCTTGGGCTCAAGTGATCCTCTTGCCTCAGCCTCCCAAGTAGCTGGGACTACAGACACCTGGCACAACGCCTGGCTATTTTTAGAGATGGGGTCTTGCTCTGGCTCAGGCTGTTCTCTAACTCCTGACCTCAGGCAATGCACATGCCTCAGCCTCCCAGAGTGCTGGGATTACAGGTGTGAGCCACTGTGCTCAGCCTGTTGGCATGCTTTTAGGCCTTTATGAAAACAGACTCACCCTGCGAATAGCTTTTGTATGTTTTGATATGATTATACAGTCTTTCAGGGATAATCTTTCTCAAAATAACTTGAATCATTGAGGCTACCAAATCACTACCTTCTACTGGATGGGGTACATGCATGAAAAGTCAGCAGGTTTCTGTGGCATGAACCTGGGCATTGAAGCCAGAGAAACCAGTGTTCAGATAATTCCTATATTACTAGCTGCATGAGCTCAAGCAAGTTACTGAACTCTGAACCCCAGCAAATGTTAATTCCCTTTCCCTCCCCTCAGGGTGCTGCTATGGATGTTGTGCGAATGAGTGTAAGGGATTAGTAATAATAGCAAAAGCTACCATTGAGTACTTACGATGTGCCAAGTACTCTAAACACCTTACTTCTTTTTGTGACTTTAAGGTACAATAGGCACTCATACTTTTTTCAGTGGCTACTTTTGCTCCTGTTTTTCCAGATGTGATAATACCCACATTTGGGAATCAATGAAATCTAACTTTAAAATGAAATTTTACTGGTTCCAACATTTGTACAATAACAATGCCCTAACCTTTTACTTGTACTAAATAATATATTATAAAAATATAGTACTTGCATGTTAACAGGGTTCATCTTTTTTTTTTTTTTTGCAGTTTTTAGCTGGGGCTGGGTTTGAACCTGCCACCTCCGGTATATGGGGCCAGTGCCCTACTCCTTTGAGCCACAGGTGCTGCCCAGGGTTCATCATTTTAAAGCCTAATGAAATAAGTGACTTGTGAAAGAGAGACTTTGAGGCATAGTGGCAGTCTGGTGATCATGGTGCTGCTCTTTTAGAATCACAAGTTTCAGGGTTTGTGACCCCTAGGCTACCAATGAGTATGGCCATTTATTATCTTAGCCACCAAAACTGAAAAAAAAAAAAAAAGCCAGTAATTTAGCCAGTGGGACTGACTTGTGTTTGATTCAACAGACTAGCTTTAGGAAAATTTATACCTGGGTTTCATACTAAGGTAAAACGTATCTTGACTGTTTATCTAACGTCTTTCTGAATTACTCAG